TTCATGATTTTCTTTGTGACTCCCTTGTTTACTTATATGTGGTTTTTAGTTAACTCTCTTTGATTTTTAAACTTATTGCATTGAAGTCATGTTTGATATGTTCTTGATTCTTCACACTTTCACCATGAATTTGTCAGTTTCTACCACTGTTCTGGTGGGAAATATTAGCCTCACAGAACTTGATCTTTTAAACTGAATTTTGATGATATTTTACAGGTGTATAAGACGTCAAGATGACCATGACAACATGTAAATGAAGATTAATTTGACATGTGTAGAATAGCCCAAGCAACTAGTCTCTGAGAATCCCACACAAACGTTTGTTCCTACATGTGTCCTACTTTCTTATGAGCATCTTTTCATCCTAACCCTTATGCTGAAGCCTGCATTAACATGCCTCCAAAAATTTTAATGAAATTCTCAATCCTGATCATACTATGTACAATTCAGTGCACTTGTTATTATAATGAATGTGACTTCGCTGAGCTTACAAATAAGTAGCTACAGTATTTTTTTAATCCTGTTCTAGGTCCATAATAAATTAAAAGACCTTTTGAAGGCTGGAGATATGGCTCGGTGGATAAAGCCCTTAACTTATATAAGTATGAGAACCTGAGTTCAAGTTCACAAAATTTTATTTAAAGTCCAGTATGATAGGGACCTGTTTGAATCACAGTGCTCCTATGGTTAGATGGAAAGCAGAGACAGGACACTACCCCCCGAGTCTAGCACACACAAGAAGAGACAACAAATTGATCTTTTCTCAAACGGAGTAGAAGCTGAGGGTAGATAACAGAAGCTGTCCTTTAACATACACGTGGTACACACACACACAAACACACACACACACACACACACACACACACACACACACACAAAAAAAAAGATTTAGATAATAAAAATTGAGAAGTGATCTTGTTTTTATCTAATTATTCACTCAGGGTCATCATAAGCAAGATATAGCCACCCATGAATTCTCATTCAGATTCCAACCATAATCCCATGACCCTCATAATAACAGAGAGACAAATACCCTCCTTCATGCAGAGAGATGCCTGTATCTGACCTTTTGGACTAGAATTACATACAACTGGCTTTTAAATTTTCAACATAAAAGTAAACTTTCATGTAGATATAAGACAATAGTCCATGTCCTCAAAACTTTCAGGAACTCTGCCATGTATAACTGCTGCATGATCTAGTGGTAAATGGGAACTGACAAGAATAAAGACTAGTCAGAAAATTCTTTGGGAGAGTCTAAACTAGAAAATATACTTAAATTTCTGAAACATTGGCTCTAGGCACCAATATTGCTCAAATCATTTTATTTTTATACATGAAATAAATTTAATACTTACAGAACAGTTGTCAAGCAGTCATTATTTGCTTTTATTTTCTTTTTTCAGGCTGGCCTGAAACTCCTGGGACTCCTATCATTTGCACCCCTTAGTACTATGATTCTAGCCATGCACCACTCTGCCTGGTTCAGTTTCAATCTTCACTGTTAATACTCTTTTGCTGATCAAACATGGTAAAAGTGTAAAATTAACACTTGTGACAAAAGATGTCAAGTAACTAGTGGAAGAAGTGAAAACTATAAAGCTCAACTAGACATTTAATCCCTGTCCTCAGCTGCCCCTCCAGTACCTTGAAATAGTACTTGGGCAGCACAGCAGTATTGTGAAAGAAGTTGCTTTGAGACTATTGTTTCTTTTTAACTGTGGACATGTTGAATGTGTGGGGGTGGGATCAGCAGCTCTGAGCCTTAGAAAGAAAGACCTGGGACCAGCTGCTTTTTCTATACAGCCCCACAGTCCAGTCTTCAGTGTCTGGAGCTATCTGTCAAGCTGTCTACATTTTCCCTCTCCTGTGCACTGCCCTCAACCTCCACCTTTGCCCTTGTCAGTCTGTTCCCTGGCAACATAGTTCTTCACACAGCCTGGTTCAGGGCTGTGCTATTCCTTGCTCCACTTGGATATTCTATGGCTGGACATTCAGGACATGGTCTTCTGGATTTGGCTGAGAAAAGACAGTTCTGCTGAACCACATAACTGAAGAAATAATCAGAGGTATGTTTTCAGAGACTATGTGAACACATCCATGCTAAAAGAAGTAATGTAAAGAAAGAAAGTGGATAATGATAAAAGAAGGGAATGAAAGAAATATGGATTCAGGCTGTTAGAGAAAGTATTCTGTATGTAGTAACTCGTCCAATATATAAAATAGCTGTTTATTTCTCTCAAGGTACCATAACCAGTATTTACAGTCACTTTAAAGACTTTTAGACTGTGACTTTAATTTCTAATGTGATATTTTAAATAGCACTGTTACATATATCGTCACTATGCAGCAGAGGGCACGACGTTCACGGTGTTGATGGCCAAACAGGTGGGGACTAAAAAGCTCATGTCATTCAGCCCTAGCAGCAAAGCCTTGAGAACATTAGGAAATATTTTGCTTATTTCTCAGTTACCTAAAGTTTGAGGAGGCAGTGTGGTCAATGTCACCACTGAAGTTAACTGTTTAATATAGTGGGTATTCGTTTGAAGTGGTTGTCTGAATTATAATTATAATCTAAAAATTAAAAGAGAGATCCTGATCAACTTAAGTCGCATTTCAATTCTTTAGAAGCCAAAGGAGGCTAGTGAACTGAAATGCACACTTATAAACTGTTCGCAGAGATTTCTGATGGCATATGAAAATAGGTTCGATGTAATTTATATGTAGTGTTTAGGATAAGTCACTGCTAAACAAATAAGTGTGGGATCTACAAATACTCAATATTCTTAGGTATGTGAATTGTGGGTAGTTTGATCTATAAGGCTAAGACTTATACAGTAAGCCTTTTTATATTTAAAAATTCACTGGGCTGTTAAAAGAGTCCCTATTAACTAATATAATTTGAAGTCTAAAGAGAAAGTATATTCTAGGCAGTTCAAATGTATCAGATTTTGGGGAAGCTATTATCCAAATGAAAAATCATAATGACTATGCAAAGGAGAAAAGGACATACAACCAAGGGTTCCTTGATTCATGATGGAAAAGTAGGGAATTATTATCAATCAAGTTTATCTTTAAAAATATTAAATATTGATCATGGAGGAGACCTTATATCTAAGTAAAAGTGATTTTGAGTTGATCACACAAGACAAACAACCTTAGTTATCATAAATGCCATCCACTTTAAATATTTAAGAATCGTTTATGTCTGTATACATGATATATAGTTTTTTTTCTTTATTGAATTTCTGTGTAGATATTTGCTAAATATGTGGATAAACGAATGGTTTTTCTATACATAATTATCAATTTTTACCTGTTAACGAACTTAGTATTTTCTGACTCCAACATATTTTATGTCTTTGCCCTGATGTATAAGTAAGAGCTTTAAAACAACACAAGGCTTTCAAACTTTATGTTCATTTCAGAGTAAAATTTTTAAAATACATCATTTTGGAATTTTCTTAATCACATAAGCCACTTAATTAATGGATCTTTATTTCTGTGTCTGCTCTTTTTTACTAATGGATGCTTCTAGATATATAGCCAGTTAATGAAAAGTTGCAAGTTTCATGCTTATATCTTTTACCTAAATGTCATCTGATCTTTCCTAAGTTTGTTATAAATTATTGGCACTAAAAACACTTCCTGGCCTTAAGGTTTGTTATTAATTAGTGCCAGCTTTTTTAAAATATGTGATAGTGGAGATCTGAATCTTTTTTGTTTTTCTAAGTAAGTTACACAAGAATCTTTTTGCTTATTCTAGTCTCCCTATTTCATGTTTATTTTGCTTAATTTCCCTGGTTTTATTACTTTTCTTGTTTGATGATATTCTTCCTTGCTTAGTTTTGTTTTGTTGGTTTTGTTTAGTTGGGACTTACACTTTGATTTGGATGATTCTATCATAGATATAAAGTTTCTTTATATTTAGGCTATAGGAGTCTCTCAAACAAAATTCTACTTTTAGAAAAAAAAGAGTAGTAAGTTAAATATTTGAAACATTGTAAATTCAAATCGTCAGTAGGGAAAGGAAGAAAGCATGATTATTACAAAAAAAAAAAAAAAACCACCATAAAACGACATTATAAAAGTCAGTTTGTCAGCATGGTAAGTACCCTTAGCGTTTTAGCAATACATATACAAATTATTAGCCAAATAGAATATATATACAAAATGAAAAAAAAAAAAAACCCTCAGTATGGAAATGGAAATGAGGCGCTTTAGGTTGGTATTTCGAAAGGCTCAGCACAGGATGCAAAGACAGGCGGCAAACAAAGGGTCTCCGTGAATCCAGCCAACAGAGAAAAGTTAAAACCTGGGTCACTCTCCGACCTTTATTAAGCTGCCGTAAATGCTGGTCAAAGCCCCGGCTTCTACACTGTTCGTTGGGGGCGCGGGGGAGGCATTTGACAAATGACAAGACAGGCATTTGAAAGGCGCTGAACAGCTTCAGGTCCGAGGGCTCCCTTCTCATTAACGTACTCCAGATTAACCCTTCCAGGGGAGAGACCCCAAGAAATCCTGTCGTTTCTGCATGCGCCAAAGCCGAAACGCCTCGGCAGAGACAATATGGGATTTTAAAAATTCGTCGCCCATAGACAAAAGGCGGAGTGAACGGAGGGATAATTTGTAATATTTATGCGCGAAATGTTTTAAAAGCTCCAAGAGCCGCAGACTGCAATGGCAAGGACTATAGCGTTTTCTTACACAAAAAGAAAGCAATGAAATACAGTGTGTACGATCGAAACCGGGAGTGATTAAAACGTCAACCTTGAGGGGAAACAACGTGGAAACGGGGTCTGGGGGCTTCAGAGTTGCATTAGGAACGACCGACCACGGCTCCGCAAGCCGGTAAGGTGCGAGACAGACATGGCGGAAGCAACTTCCGCTTAAACACCGAAAGTGGTGTCTCAACCGGAAGTGTCCGTCTGCCTGCAAGCAGGTAGGAACTAAAGTTCACAGGGGGTCGGTTTCTAGTGGGAAGACAAAAATTGGTGCACTTCCGCCCGGGAATCCGCCGATCGGTCCAGCTCCAGCTCCGCCGATTCAAACTCAAAAAAGATATAATATTAAACGTTTTTTGGACAGTTTAAGGGACGCGTAGCACCGATGGAAGAGTCTGCAGCTCCCAGGAGGCCCCACGCGGCCGCAGGTGCCGAGGCAGGTGCTGAGGGGGGGGAGGGTGTGTCTGTTCCCCCCCTTCCCGAATTTGAGGCTTCTGGAGCCTCTGCGGTGGTTAGTTCAGCCTCTGTGCAAGAGGCATCGGGCCTGGCACCCTTTCTTGTGGTTCCTGTGCTTGAAAACCGTCGCACGGCGAGTCCTCGGCTGGCTCCAGCCGAAGGGGGCGGAGCCCGGTCTCGTTCTGAGCGCAACAGCGGCAACTGGACCAAGCAAATCCTCTGCAGGTATTATCTGCATGGGCAGTGCAAGGAGGGCGATAACTGTCGCTATTCTCATGACTTCTCTGGGCGGCGGAAAGCTAGGGGGGGCCAAGATTCTCAGCCTCGGGCCTCTGCAGATAGAGGGCCCAAGATGGCCACTGAGTGGGAGCCCCCGACTCAGGAAGTGGCGGAAGCCCCCCCTACTGCATCCTTCAGCTTTTTGCCTCTCATTGGCTCGGCTGCTGAAAGGGGCTTCCCTGAAGCTGAGATTGGCAGCGCAGGCATTGGCTCAGCTGCTGAAAGGGGCTTCACTGAAGCAGAGATTGACAATGCAGGCCTGGCAGCAGCTGCTACGGGAGGAGCGGGTGCGGAAGGCTGGGAGGGGGCAATTGAGTTTGTTCCTGGACAGCCCTACCGAGGTCGCATGGTCCCCCCGCATGGTCCCGAGGCTCCTCTGCCGAGACCCCGGGCTCCTCTGCCGAGACCCCAGGCTGCTCTGCCGAGCCCCCAGGCTCCTCTGCCGAGCCCCCAGGCT